GGACCCAAAAAAAAAAAAAAAAGAAATATACCCAGGAGAGATGCCAACACGAGTTCACCAAAAGTCACAGACCAGAATGTATCCAGCTGTACCATTCATTCAAAAGACCCAGAAATAGCTCAAAAGTCCATCTACATTAGACAGGTAAGTAAACTGGGGTGCATTCACAGCACAGAACATACATTGAGTAAATGCAATGCTAAATAAAAGGAGCCAGATACGAGACACATGGACACACAGTGTGACACCTCTTGGAGTCCACAAGTGGGCAAAGCTGTGGCATGTGTGATGAGAGGGTTGAGATGGTGACTCTCCTGGGCATATTAGTGACAAGGAAGGTCACAAAGAGGCTTCAGGAGTGGAGGACCAGTTGCATACATGCAATCAGTTTTTTGTTTGTTTGTATGCCAGTCCTGAGGCTTGAACTCAGAGCCTGGGCATTGTCACTGAGCCTTTAAGCTCAAGGCTAGTGCTCCACCCCTTGAGCCACAGCTCCACTTCTGAATTTCATTTATTTATTTATTTATTTTTGTGGTTCATTGGAAATCAAGGGACTTTTCTCTGCCCAAACTGGCTGTAAACCACAGTCTTCAGATCACAGCATCCTGAGTAGTTAGGATTAGGATTACAGGCATGAGCCACTGGCACCCAGCACAGTGTTTGAAAATTCCATGGGAAATAACATTGGGAAGTTTCTAATGGTGTTTTCATTTTTCACAATGTTGAAGATGGAACCAGAGCATTATGCATGCTAGGCAAGCGCTCTATCACTAAGATGTGCCCTGAGCCTTATAATTTACACAAGTTTCAATGTGCAGGGTTACACTTTAATAAAATCTATTAAGTCTAGGCATGTAGCTCAGTGATAGAACCATGGCCTAGTGTGTTCAACTTCTTTGGTTCCATTCTCCGCACCACACACACACACACACACACACACACACACACACACACCCCTCTTAAAAGTAAAACTTGCTAAGCACTGGTGGCTTCCACCTGTCATCCTAGCTACTCAGGAGGTTGAGATCTGAGGATCATAGTTTAAAGCCAGGAAACACTGTGAGACTCTTATCTCCAATGAACCACCAGAAAACTAGAAGTGGAGCTATGGCTCAAAGTGGTAGCATAGGGCTAGGAATGTGGCTTAGTGGTAGAGTGTTACCATGGGTTCGATTCTCAGTACCACATAAACAGATAAAGCTGGAAGTGGCACACTGTTGCTCAGGTGGTAGAGTGCTAGTCTTGAGCAAAAGAAGCTCAGGGACAGAGCCCAGGCCCTGAGTTCAAGCCCCAGGTCTGGCAAAAAAAGAAAGAAAGAAAGGAACTGGTAGAGGGCTAACCTTGAATAAAAAGAGCTGAGGTATTGCGCCCAGGCCCTGCGTTCACACCCCATGACCAAAAAAAGAAAAAAAGTAAAAATGTAGGGTAAGATGCTAGAATATTCCTCCCAAAAGCTGACTGCCTTTCATGAACCTGGGCCTCCAATCCACATCCTTGACTTTTTAGCATGCAGTTTATCTGACCCTAATCTGGCCCATGCCCCTCACCTGAAAAGAACTAAGGACAAAGAGAAGAGGCCTGTTCAGGTCACACAGCCCCCCCCCCAAGCAGCCAAGAAGGTAAAAGAAAACTTCAGAAACCAGGGTAAGATAGCACAAAGAACATAGCATAGGTTCTACCAACTCAAACCAGCGCTGGCACCTTTTGTGCCCTGGATTGCTGTGTTCATTACCCAGCATGCTTAGAGGGCAAGGCAGGACACTGAGAAGGTTGGCTGAGCACTGGGCACTGAAGGGTTCCACAGCACAAGCACAAGAGGAATCTCAGGACCCATTTTCCAGATGATAGTATGGAGACTGGTCAGTTAGGGGACTTGAGGCAGGAATGGGCGGAAGTCCACCTGCCCCAGAGCAGTGACTCTCACCACCACACCAGCTCCCAAGCACATGGTAAGGCCTGTCCCAGCTGGAGGCATCATCAGAACCAACTGTGACAAGCTGGGTGGTGAAGGGCAGACAGTGGCATGGTCTCATCACATCAACCCTGGCCCTGCGGGATCTCTGTCTTGGAGCTCTAGCAATGCCTCTCTCTACTCTGGACAGCTCCAGCCTACACCTCATCCAGCCATCTCTTCCACTCCCTGACTTGACCAGCCATTGCCCACCAAGTCCCATCGGCACAGCTTCGCTCTCTTTTATTTTGGTGCCTGTACTGGGACTTGAACACAGGGCCTGGGCAGTGTCCCTGAGCTTTTCTACTCAAGCCTAGTGCTCTACCACCTTGAGCCACAGCTCCACTTGCAGAGTTTTTTGGTGCTTAATTGGAGATAAGAGTCTCACAGACTTTCCTGCCTGGGCTGGCTTTGAATCGTGATCCTTAGATCTCAGCCTCCTGAGTAGCTACGATTATAGGCGTGAGCCACTGGTGCCTGGCTTGCATCCACATCAGAATTCCCTTGCTCCTTCTCCCAGGCCTTCTCTCCTCTCCCAAGAGACCCTCGTTGTGGGCTGAGGAACTTTTTGATGCCAGGGTCAGACCTTGCCTTTCTGGCTCAGCCCTCTCTCTCCAGGGTGAAGTATAAACACATGTGGGCCTCGGAGACTTTTCCCTCAGCTCCTGGGAGCATCTCCATAGCCCTCCCCCAGCATCAGATTCCCCCAGGCTTGCTAGGTGTCAGGAGTGGCTCTGGGTATGACACACATTGTGTCCAGCCAGCCCAGTTGGACTCACATCTCATTAACAAGTGCCTGGCCAGAGACCCATGTCAGAAATACTGAATCAAGTACAAGGAACATTTATCTAGCATGTGTGAGGCCGTGAATCCCACCCTAAGTGACGCAGACATAAACAAATGGACGGATGAATGAATGAGTGAACGAATGAATGAAATGTTGGTGAGCAAAGGGCTATGCACACTAAGGCTGTTGCCTCCACATCCAAGTGCCTGCTAAGCCAGATGTTCCCTGTACCCCACAACTCCTGTGGAACTCCTAAAGTCTGTCTGATGCTTGCCTGCCCCAGGAGGTCTTCTGCGGCTTCATTGGTAGCTCTAATTTTTCTGGAACCCTCCCTCATTACTCGGGGTTGGAATGATTGTGTCCCGGTGGGTCCCCCCTTCCTTCAGGCTATGACTCATGGCTGACACTCCAGAATTTGTACAAGGCCAGGCACGCAGCAGCTTCGGCATTATTCTCAGAATGAATGAGCAAAGCAGCCCATCAAGAGAAGAACCAGCGCCCAGGAGAGAATAATATTGGTTCCAAGTCCTCAGAGAGGAGGAGTGTGAGAAAGATACCCTCCTGATGTCCTCCCCCTGACCACTGTCCCGGCTGCCCCCTCCCCCCCCCACAGGGCCTGTCTCCTCTTTCCCCAGGGACAAGCCACACACATCCCCTGAAGAGGTGCTGAGGGCTCCCAGACAGCCCTCAGGGCCCCTGGGTGAGGCTGATAGGAAGTGTCTGGCTTCCTGTGTGCAGGCCATCTGTCTCCTCTACTGCAGGCTCACTGGCCCTCCTCCAGAGGGACTCAGAGTCCACTTTACATCAGGGGTTCCCTGGGGATCAAGGGAGCAACTCTTATCACTGGCTGCCTACAGGAATTTCTGACACCCCATGGAACCCACTGGAAATGGCCTCTGAACCTCAGTGTCTCACAGCTCTAAGCTGACCCAGCTCCACGGTTCCTATGACAAGAGACGCACCGGTGGCTCATGCCTGTCATGATAGCTACTCAGGAGGCTGAGATCTGAGGATCGCAGTTCAAAGCCAGCCCAGGCAGAAAAGGCCATGAGACTCTGATCTCCAATAAACCACTACAAAACCGGAAGTGGCGCAGTGGCTCAAGTGGTAGAGCGCTCACCTTGAGCTGAAGGGCTGAGGGGTAGCGCCCAGCCAAAGTTCAAGCCCCACAACCAACAAAAAAGAAAAAAAGAGAGAGAGAGAGAGAGAGAAGCTAAGGGCCAGGGACTTAGCTGCTGTGGTAAGCAAGGGCACCTGGCAGGTCAAGGCACTAGGCCAGCTGCTCAGGGAAGTCCTTGCTCTCTAGGCCCTGTGTGAATTTGTCACCCCCCCTGCCTGGCAGGGGACAGCAGGGGGCAGCAGAGGAAGGGCCAGGCTCTGAGCCTGACACTCATCCCAGAGACATGCTGTGAGTTTTCTTACCATCCAAAGGAGAAAAATAAGTCGTTGCTGGCTCACATCTGTAATCCTAGCTACTCAGGGGGCTGAGATCTGAGGATCACAGTTCAAAGTCAGACAGGGCAGGAAAGTCTGGGAGACTTATCACCAATTCACCTCCATAAAAGCAGAAGTGGAGCTGCAGCTCAAAGTGCTTTAGAGCACTAGCCTTGAGTGAAAGAGCTCAGAGACAGTACCCAGGCCCTGAGTTCAAGCCCCATGACCAGCCAAACAACAGAGACTCCTGGAAAGGGCCTGGCATGCTGCTTGATGTAGAATGGATGCTTGATGAACCTGTTGACAAATCAAGGTCCCTCCGCTTCTGCTTTGCCACTGTCCTTGGCTTGTTGCTCAGATAGGGAGAGGAATGGAGCTTCAGAGCCCAGTCCTCAAGACTCCAGCTTGTACTTTCTGTGTGACCCTGGCCTAGTGGCTTCATCTCTCTGATCCTGTTTCCACATCTCCAAGACAGATACCAAACGAGTGGGTGTTTGTCAACACACTAGAGACAAAAATGACCATTCTAGTCTATCATGAGTCAATGATTGTAAAAGTTGCCCGGAGGGAAGAGCCAGTTTCCCAGGGTAGCCTGTGCCTTCTCCTGTTGCAGCAGTGGTTCGGGTGCTGATGGCTTAGTCAGTCAGAGGTGGTCGGATGCCTGGGTCATGCCCCCCTGCTCATCTGTAGTGTGATCTGTGCTAGTCAGGGGGGTTCTCCACCTTAGGGGAGCTAGCATGGGCCAGGGTACTGCTCAGGGAAGTCCCAGCATTTGGGGCCCTCGGTTGATTGCCACTGCCCCTCCCCCCCCGCCCTTGTGCCACTCACCAGGATGGTTGTGACTACCAATGTCTTGTTGGCCAGCGTCTGTGACAGGTTGATGTCCAGGGTGGTGGCATTCATGGCTAGGGTCCGGTTAGAGTACCATACCCCTATCTGGGGGTGCAGAGAGGGTACCATCAGTACAGGCCCCACCCCTCTGCTTCCCATCAGGCCTCTGGCCTTGTCCCGGCCTGCTCACCTCACGGTGGCCCTGCCGGGATTTCTCCAGGATCCGTAGAGTGTAGTTGGTCCTCTGCCCTTTGCTGTTGAATTCGACCCGTCCAGTCAGCCCATCATACTCTACCTAGCAGGGCGGGAGGTGGGGCAGAGGGAGGGGAGGCAGGGCCCAGAGATGGGCCAAAAGGCCCGGCAGACACAAGACATCCATACAGAAAGACATACAGACAGGAGAAGGAAGGCATGGAAGAGAAGGGACCAGGAGGGAACACAGAGAAGAGAAGAGAAGAAAACACACACAGGGCAATCAGTGGAGACAGCACATCCCAGCATGGACAGGACAGCACAGCAGGAGTGGACATGTAGGGGGGGGTGGGAGAGGGGAGAGGCACAGAGATGGGAATGGAGGTAGGGGAGAAGGCAGAGGGCCACAGGGTGGACACAGTGAGTGCCCCTTCCAAGGTGGTTGCTGTCCCGCCTCCCCCTTTCTTCTCCTCCTCTCTCCCCTGCTCCTGGCTCACCATGCGCAGGTAGTTCATGAGGCTGGTCCCGTGGGGCCAAATGTTGGCCGAAGTACAGGCCAGCGGCTTGACACCGATCTCCTGGCTGCGATTCAGCTCTCGGACAGCGCTCACTACCACGTGCACGGCGTCAAACATCAGGGCAGCCGAGAGCTAGGGGCAGGGACAGAAGTGAGGAGGGATGGGAGAGAGGCAGCCCGGCTGCAGGGAGCCCTGCAGGCTTCTTACGGTGCTACCCACCAGTCCTCAAGCATCCTCGCAGGAGTAGGAAAGCAGTGGGTCATGGAGGAGGAAGGGACAAAAGACAACAATGAGGCTAGAAACTGGTGGCTCAAGTCTGTCGTCCTAGCTACTCAAGAGGCTGAGATCTGAGGATCGCAGTTCAAAGCCAGCCTGGACAAGAAAGTCCAGGAGACTCTTATCTTCAATTAACAATAGCAACAAGAACAAAAAGGAAATGGAGCTGTGGCTCAAGTGGTAGAACACTAGCCTTGAGCAACAAAGCTCAAGGATGGTGCCTAGGCCCGGAGTTCAAGCCCCAGGACCAGCACAAAAGGAAGGAAGGAAGGAAGACAACAGTGGGGAATGGGTAGATACTATCCAGTCTGTTCACAACCATAATCTATTTTGGGAAAGGAATGTCTGAGAGTTTGTCTGATTGGCCAGCTGTGTCTCCCTTGTGGGCCAGTGGCTCTGAGCTGCATATTATTTCTTCTTCTTCTTCTTCTTCTTCTTCTTCTTCTTCCTCTTCCTCTTCTTCCTCTTCTTCCTCTTCTTCCTCTTCTTCCTCTTCTTCCTCTTCTTCTTCTTCTTCTTCTTCTTCTTCTTCTTCTTCTTCTTCTTCTTCTTCTTCTTCTTCTTCCTCTTCCTCTTCCT